TTCAGACACCAGAGGAAGGGGGAGGGAAGGCTGGCAAACTACTTGAAGGTAATCATTGTACATGGATGTCCTCTGCCAGCGTGTGGTTATTTGTAAAATGTTTGTGTTGTTGCAAAATTTTTGCTGGTCCAGTTGAGTTTTGGCCACGTCTGCCTGCGTGCATGTCCCCCTGCCCCAGGCCAGAGGCAGCTGTTGGTGGCTGTGTGCCATCACACCAGCTTTCATGTCACACCCTCCCTTTGTGTTGGTGGCAGCCGCTGGGAAGCAGGGCAGCAATTCCCGTTGCTGTCAGTGTTTTGTGGCCTTCCCTGAACCTGCCCCATCTGCTCTGGGAGTTGCAGGGACCATTTGGGAAACAACCAGGCACGTATAAAAGAAGCTGACAGGTGCTTGGGGCTGTGCCTGTGATCCCGGGAGGAAGCAGGGCTCCGCGGGGTCAGTCCCCAGTTTCTGAACCCGAGGGGATCCCTGTCTTCTGTGTCAGCAGAGAACTGAGCCACATGTGTAAGAGCAAGAAAGAAACCTTCCTCCATGCTGCCTCCCGGAGAGCTGTCCCAGGGAGAGAAGTCCCGGTGATGGCTGAAAGTGCAGTGCTGAGGGCTGGCAAATGAGAACCAAATGTATAGTTGTTTCTTCTTTTAATAGCCATTTATGATTTTGCATATATATATATCTCTTAAGAGCCATTCATGTGTGTTTGCAGCTCAAAAAGCCAACCAGGTTCTGGGCTTTATTAAAAGAAGTGTGGTCAGTAGGTTGAGGGAGGTGATTCTGCCCCTCTACTCTGCCCTCGTGAGACCCCACCTGGAATACTGGGCCAGCTCTGGAGCCCCCAGCACAAGAAGGATGTAGAAGAGTTGGAATGAGTCCGGAGGAGGGCTGCCAAGATGATCAGAGGGCTGGAACACCTCTTCTTTGGGGACAGGCTGAGAGAGTTGGGCTTGTTCAGCATGGAAAAGAGAAGGCTCTGGGAGACTTCATGGTGTCCTTCCAGTACCTGATGGGCATCTACAAGAAGGCTGGGGAGAGACTTTACACAAGGGACTGTAATGGTAGGATGAGGGGTAATGGGTGGAAGCTGAGGGAGGGGAGGTTTAGACTAAATATAAGGAAGAAGTTTTTTACTGTGAGAGTGGTGAGGCACTGGAACAGGTTGTCCAAGGAGGTTGTGGATGCCCCACCTCTGGAAGTGTTCAGAGCCAGATTGGATGGAGCCTTGAGCAACCTGATCTAGTGGGAGGTGTCCCTGTCCGTGGCAAGGGGTCAGAACTAGATGATCTTTGAGGTCCCTTCCAACCCAAACCATTCTGTGATTATATGTTAGTCTTCACAATCTGATTTCATCCATTTTTAATAGACTAGACTTGTTGTTTTAAGTATATTGCTTCCGCTGTATTTTGGCAAGAAACATGAGCTGGTGGCAGTCCCCTCCAGTATGGGGTGTGGGTGCATTTGGACCATACATCTACCAGCAGAGATGGCGGGGTGAACCGGGGTGACCCCCCTCAAAATTGCAGCGTGGTCCTCTGAAATCACAGCGTAGCACTCCCCAAGTCATCTCCCTCCAATCAGTTGACTTCAACTCTTGCTGCTAACAAAGATGCTGCTAAATTTTTGCTTGCTGCGAGTGGTTCCTTTCAGCCTCTCGAAAACATTTTCTGTCCTTTTTGAGATCTCATAAAGGAATTGAACCTTGGGAAGACACTTGGTGGCATTTTCTAAGCTTGCTCCAAGCAGTGTGGCAGTTCTGTAAGTGACACTTGTCACACGTGTGTCCTGCAGGGTAGCAAATGCCCTCCTGAGCTGCAGCACTTCAGTTACCTGAAGGTCTTGCCCTCGCTGCTCTGCAGAGGTGATGTGCAAAGCTCTAGTTGAACCACTTCACACTTGGTCTAGGTATAAATATTTTTTTATGAGTCTTTAGGAGTTTTCCATAATCTATTGATACTATTCATTACCCCTAACTCTAGCACTTGAGAGCAGTTTCTGCCTGGTCCAGTCTCCCATTACACGTGTCATGTTCAAATTCCCCAAACAGCAAGTATCTGCTGCCTGAAGATCAAGTGGATTTTCTAAGACTTTCACCCCACAAAGGGATTTCCTGTGGTTTACTTCTCTGTGTTAAGGCTGAGATCTTATTTTCTCTTTGTTTTGTTTTTTTTTCTTTTTATGTTCTCCACTGCTGCAGACTATTCAGCCAGCAGTGGTGATGCTGCTTGTGCTGGATTTAACAGGATGCGCTGCCCTACTCGCTGTGTGCTCACTGCCAAGCTCTATTTTCTATGCACAGCAGAGACATCCATAAATTTTCTCTCAATTTTAGCACAAAACCCATCCTGCCATAAAAAAAAGAAATGCCTTTAAAGGCCACTTCATGGTGGACTCCCCACTCTGATTTTACTGGAGACGTGACCCCCCCAGTCAGAGGACTGGAGCTGGTATTAAAATAGGATTTTTATTTACTGTTGGCTTGAAGCTGCCTGCATTTGTTTACCACTGTGAGCTGACCTTTGGGGAGACATTTCTTGATTAATTGGGTATCTAATCACTTCAGACCATTGACAGGCGTGTGTGGATTGAAGTTTTTCCTCTTGTTAAATATTTTCCCTCTAGTTTCTTTTTTTCCTGTTAGATGGCAAATGATGCGTTTATTTTTTCTATTAGTTCCTTCATTGTTTTCCTCTTCAGTAATTAACTGTTGATCTCATATTTGCTTGGCCCGTTGTCTCTTGGCCTGAACTTTTCTTTTGCCAATCTATTCATATCATAAGACTTGTTCGTAAGTATGTGCTTATATGCTATGGGTACAGGACAGCTATTTTAATTGTGGTAATATCTGGCCTTCAATAATCATTCTCTCAATAATTCTTTAAAGTTACTCTCCACAGACTTTTTTTTAAAAGAATCTCTACCTTTAACTATTTTCTCACGACAGTGCCTTTTTGTAGGTATTGAATCCTTGCTTATGTTTTTCCCCCGGAGAATTCTGCAGGCTTACCTGGTGCTTTAGGTTCCCAAGGTGACAGGAAACAGGCAGCGAGTGCTCTGGGACACTTGTGCCTGCGTTGGGTTTAGTTCTCTATATGTACGTACCCTAAAGACCTGCCCCTGGCTGTGTTCAGATGTTAGTAGAAGGAAGAATATGCTTCTGGTTTTTATGTGTTTGTCCTCCAGCTATTTGTTAGTAAATAATCTAGAATATTTCCGTGGCAAACTGGTGTAGCAAATTTTTTTTTTTCCTGCCCCTGTGGAAAACATAGAAATGTGTTTAGGTAAGTGATGTTTTGATTTTTGTACAGTGAGCAAAATTTACTTATGTGACATGTTGGTCAGAGGCTCTGAAGAAGAAAAACATAGCTAGACTGGGGATTGGTATGGAAGTATTGGCTTTGTCTGGGGAGGGGTAATAGCATGAACTTTAATAGCCTTGGACTGGGACTCAAGGGTCCTGGAATCCGTCCCTGCTTTTTCCCTGGCCAGTGGAAGCTGTCAGGTATTGCAGTGGGAAACAGTCTGAGATTTAGTGATGGAAAGTTCAGTTCAGTAGCAGATCTCCTTATTAGCTTGCTCTTCTGGGTTGAAAAGTGAAATAAACTGAATATTGTGCATGCTTCCCACACGTGGCACTGAAGTTCAGGGAACCTTGTGCTGCAGACGTGTCATGGGTAATAGGTAAGGGAGAATCTCTTCACTCAGCCTCAGTCTAAGCCTGGACTTTCTGGAGCAGGAGAATTTGATTGCAGCCCTTGCTGTTCTGTGATGTCCCAGCCCTGGGGTAGAACCTGGCCCCAGCTGTGGAGTCTTTGGTTGCAGTGGATTTGTTATGGTGCTCTTTTGCCCTGCCTAAACTGGTGCTTTTATCGTGTTTTACAGTCTACAGTGTGCCAAGGAAGGAAAATGAGTTAATTCAAAAAACAATTTTGCTGGAAGATTGCTCTATAAATAAATTCCAGAGATAAGTGGAATAAAACATTAGTGGAAGATGAAGGCAAAGAGGGGGAAAGATGGAAACCAGCAGATGTAAGCGATGAGGCTGGATTTGTTCCATGTCAAAGTGCTTATGTTGATGGAAGTTCTTTTGTCATCAGTAACCTCTTTGGTGAGCAGCCCTTAGGGAGGGAAAATCAGAGTAACTCCAAGGAAAGAAGCTCTCAGTGTTGTCTGCCACTGTGCACAGCTGTAAGTCAGGTCTGGGCATCCTGGAGAGGCACTGGTGTGGTGAGGAGCCGCAGCCCTCGGCCGCGGGATGGAGAGGCAGGTGCAGGCAGGGATGCTGCCAGGCAGAAATCCAGCTGACCTGCTGCAGGTAACAAGAGGTGTGGATGCTGCTCTTTCAGTCATTAGTGCTGCAGCTACTGTGTGTCTTCCTAACGGGTTGCACCACACTTCTGATAAGCTAGGTCATAAGCAGGGTATTTTCAGTGTTTCCCGGTTGTGATTTTAATTGTCTCTTTTTGCTTCCAATAAAATGTTCTGTGTAACCGATCACAGGAGAGCCTTTTCTTTGCGATATTGTACCTGAGGTGCTAGAAATATTTGCGGACAGGGGCAGACAACAGTCTGTCTATTCTTACTCGTCCTGGCTAAAAATCACCAATGCCAGATGATCCAGCTGGAGGAAATAAAAATATCTGTATAGCAACTAATGGTGTGATTTTATGCCTAGGGAAGCAAATCAATGAGAGGTAAATCAAAGACAGATAAAATTCCTGGTTATTTTCCCATTAAGTTAAAGCTCCTGTAAAAACAAAGTGCTTGGAATATATAGAGGGAAGATAAGTCTTTGTATAGCAAAAGGTGGCTCAGCTCACTGATGCTGTGAAGTAGCTTTCTTGAAAGAACAAGTGAGGTTACTCCTGGTTTGGGTCAGGTTTGTTATAGCCCCTGGGTTCTTGGAATAAATTAATGAATTTGTTTTCCATGTTTGAAGCTGTGTGCAAAGCTAGAATGACCTCCCTGTGTCAGAATGTGTTGCTAATGTCAATTTTCCTTTATTTCAGCAACAGCGCACAGTTTATAGGCTGACACTGGTGAAAGCTTGGAATGTGGATGATCTCAAAGCCTATGCTGACCTGATATCCCTCGGTAAACCAGACTTCATTGAGGTCAAGGTGAGCTGCATGGAGATATATTTTTTTTTTTTTGTTCCCATCAGTATTTTGCTTTTTCCTTCCCCATTCCCCCTTTTCCTCCAAGTCTTAAACTTGTACGAGTAAATGCAATTCTTCCAAAGATTTCAGTGATGCTATTTCTTGCTTTTAAAGTTAGGCAGCCAGGTTTCTAATACCTTGCGTATGCATTTGGAGTAGTCTTTAGTGTTATGCAGGACAAGCTTTGTACCAGCCAGCATCAATTTCTGCTGAACAGAATCATAACCCTCTGGTCTCTTTTGTATTTCTCATGAAAGCAGACTGATAAATAAATGTTCCTTCTTTTATGTCAACCACCATTTTAAACAAAATATTCTAGGACAAACTGCTAGTTTGTGGTATTATTATTTCCATCCTGGCCTAAAATTCTGCCAGGGGAAAAGGTGATAATGTCTGGCTTACTGATGTAGTATTTGTCAGGCTGTGTAAAACAGGGGGAAATACTACCCTCTGGGACTGGAAGAACTACAGCAGGGCAGGAGGTGCTTTATCTGGGATAAATCAATTTAGTATATAGAGAATGTAAAAAAGACACATTGCAAGGTGTTCTGTAAAGAATCTTTCTGTAAAGAATCAGCATTTTCATCCAGCAGCTCCTCTGCAGACCAGCACATTTACCTCAGCAATGTGTTTTTGCAGCTCTATTACTTCTGGACTTTCTCTTTTCTTTCTCTTTTTTCTTTTCTTTCTCTTTCCTTTTTTTGACCTTTATGTACTGCTGCTTTGAAGAAGGACTGGAGTTTGCTTCAATTTCCTTATGAAACAAAACCCAAAGGTTTTTATATTGTCAGTATTGAGAGGTCTCTTTCTCTCTGAACATGCTGCTGAAGTTGATAGCTTAATACAAAATAAGATTTTGAGTATAGTTTGGGGAAAAAGCCTCAGTTTTATAATGCGTATCAGACTGATTTATATTCCTCGGGTAAAACGTAGCAAGAGGAGTGCTCCTATGGGGCCCTTCCCACCTTGCATCTCCTGACTCTCTGCAGCCTGATAGTACGAGATCCAGCCTGTGAAGAGGGCAGAGACGAGCGTGCACACCAGTGTGGAGCATGAGGCTGTTGGTGTACATGCTACTTAGACTGCTCTGTCATGTGTAGCGACTTTAATTAGTAAAATGAATCAGGTGTATGTTAATCAATGTTTCTGAGTGCTCTCCAGGGCTAACATCTGTCTCCTCTGAGGCAGAGAGCTGCTGTTTTCTTTGCTCGGGGAAGGATTCAGCCTTGCAGTCATGGTTTCCCAGCAGTGTGGAGCTCAGGTCTACCAGTGGCTCTTCCTTGGCAAAATCATGCCTCAGACTGCCAGGGAAATAGGTGAAAAGGGGTGGTCATGGAGGTATTCCCAAGGTGGTCATAGATTTACTCCCGATACTCTTCTGGCTGGGACAGGCTCCTGCCCACATGGCTTCAATCGAAAATGTCAACTTTGCACTCCGAGTACTTCAAAGTACTAGCCAGATCTCAACCTGTGAGGAAGGGATATGTACTGAGCATGTTGCCATGTTTGCAGAAGTATGAACTGAGGCAGAGGGGGCTGTGTGACATTCCCCAGGATCCACGTAGCACGGCAGTGTAGCTGGGCATTCAGCATCCCTCGTGTACCTGCCAACACCACCTGCAAAGGGGGTTCAGAGGGGGTGCAGGGCAAGGAAAGCTGAGGGGGGGGTGCACCTCGCACCTGATGGCCATGTGCTGTTGGGTGGGTTTAGGTCTTTTTGTGGGCTGATAGGAGTGTAAGTTTGCAGTTTTGTTGCTTGTTTTTGTTTTGTTTTTTTAAAGGTATGTGTTACTTAAATGTGCATGTGGGTTGCTTTGATCTAAATGTAATATTTTCAGAGCTATTCCAGCAGGTAAGTGAAGTTCTGCAAGTGTTGGAAGACAGAAGTGTCTGCCAGGGTGCCCATCCTTGTCAGATCATGATGTCTTCAAGCTAAGGGACAGAACATCTCATGCCTCAGCTGCTTCTGTGAATGGTTTAACACTGTGCCTATACTGTGGCCGCAAAAGCAGTCAGTAGCTGGCATGTGGAAAGTCTCTTGTCTTTTCAATCCCAAGAGCAGCATTCAGGGACAGGGAAACTCAGGTTTAAGCCTTTTCAAAGGATGCAGCATCTCTCTCCTTTGCTAGTTGCTGTGCTTAGGCTGGGAGCGATGGGGAAAGTCTTACTTTCCCTGGTTACAGCTCTCATTAAAAACTGCAGCACAGCATTTCACGACTTCATTGCAATCTGGGTACTCAAAGACCAAAAAACCATCTTCTACAGTTTGTTCTTCGTTTCCAGTCTAGTGGAGGGAGGACAATTTTCCAAAGCTCTCAAAACCATACAGCAAGTCTGACAGCAGCTAAACCCCGCAAGACAGAAGCAAGCAGCTGAGTACAAGAAAATACACTAATTCCTTTTCAGCATCAGCAGCAGAAACGCATTGTCAGGGCACTGCTCCACCTCATTCACCAGCAGGCTCTGAAATAGCCTCCATTTTTTTCCATTTAATTGAGCTTTTAAATAGAGCTGTGCTGTCCCGTTATCTTAATTTGGAAGACAGGAAAGCAGGGTTCATGTACTTTGAAGTATGAAACAGGCCATTGCTGGCAGCGTTGCTGGTAGTGACCCTTGGTGAGCGGGAGCTTAACCGATGTTATCCCTGTGAAACAAATGGCCCAACTCTGTGTGGGCACGACATTTGGGGTTTAAATGGCATTTCCATCCCTTTTAAAAGGCACAAAACTTTGTGATGGCTTCCTTGGAGCGGGCATTGTGTTTAAATAGACCCTAAGTTGGATAAAAGGTCTTGCTCACAGATTTTTATATGGGATGTTTTTATGTAAAAGCAAGGGGGTTTTTTAACAGCTGCTTTTCTTCCTTACCTCCATGGAGCAAATGCAGTGTTCCCAAAGGTGAGTCCTTGGTGCTCTGCAGAGGGGAAGCAGCTCACACTAAATATAGTATTAGCCCAGTCAGTGGCCTTATTTGTTTCACATAGTTTCATCTGCCAGTTTCCTGCTAAACAGCAGTATTTCTAAAGTGTGGAAGATTTGGCTCCGTAGGGATGCACAATGGCTTTCTCCTCTTGCTGCACTGTCTCTGACTTTGAAATGTGAGCAGATTACATGGTTTCTTACATCGAGCGTGGAACCAATTTTTCCCTTTTCTTGGCCAGGAGTAAGTGACATGTTCTGGAGTGGCTGATGAACAGAGTTGCTGCAGGGTAGCGAGAGTGTCCAGCCAGGTACCGACCGAGTGGCTGACAGGGAATGTCACCTTAAGGACAGCTTCCTTCCTTGGCTGTCCTTTCTGAAGTGCCCACTGATTGCTGGTGGGGTGGGGTGCCCCCCACGCTGCTGGAGATACCTGTGTTGCTGTTGTGCCTGCACCCAGGCCCTTACCCCATGGTCTGACCTAACTAAATGAGTAGGTTATTCTCCTTTGCGTTCAGCTGTGTGTTCTGTAGGCAGCTTGTTTTCATCTGATCGCCTTTAATCCTGGCTTGCAAAGCTCTTGTCCCAACACGCTACCCATGAGATCAGCCTTCTCTTACGGCAGGATCACTGGTGCAGATGCTGCTGCAGCAGTTTCAGAGGCATCTGAGCTGTCCTGATGAGCAAACTGGGGATGAGAATGCTTCAGGGTGCTTTGTTGTTTCTGCCTGTGCACCTGCAGGCAAGAGCTGGAGTCTTTGTCCCTGCAATATTTGACTGCTCTGGAATAAAAGGTGAGCAGATCATCTTCTTAGCAAAGGAGAACAGCAGAAGAGGGTCAGAACCATATCCCCCCTAAAGCCTGGGAGTTTGCAATTGTGCAGGCAAAGTGCACGTAAGCAGAGTGGTCACAGATATCATCCCCCAGCATTCAGAGGGATGCTTGATACCATAGTACATAGTCAGGAGTGAAATTCTGACTCGAAGGCAGGGCTGAGGTGTGTTCATTCTAGCACTCATTATGCCTGTCAGCAGTCCCTTTCATGTGCTGTAGGTATTCATCTGCACTTGGACAAAAACTCCTGCCAATGTGTAACTGGCCTTCAGTCCAGCCCCAGCAGTTGTGGTGTTCACACAGCATTTGTGACCTGGGAATTTTCCCCTAAAGACTCAATATTTTTGATTAAAAGTAATTTCTTGTGTTTCTTTAAAGCATATTGAAGAATCTATTTTACATGTGATGGGGATTAGCTGAGTTTTTTTGTTGTTTGGGTTTTTTTTTCCAAACCCCGGTGTGATAGGTTAAAAACGTGAAGACCCAGGTCCTGCTCAAAGCAAATAAACAAAAAAATATTACAGGATATTGCAAAGCATCTGTCAGAAAATGAGGCTTATCTCAGTGGGATTTCCTGGTTAAATACTTGAGATAAATGACGTTCACTTAAAATGAATGTAGCTAATCCACTGTTGCTCCGGAGAGGCTCACAGGGTGGAGTGGATAGAGATTTAGATTCTTGCAGGGCTTAATACTTGTTCTCATTTACAAGAGTATCTTACAGTGGTGTAACTCTGTGGGACCCTATTCTCTTATTTAAACCAATAGAAATTACCCTTGATTACCCTTGTGTACAACCCAAGCAAAGAAGAATGTGTCGTGTAGTTATTAAATACGCATCAGTTTTATTTATTGCCTTAGTCTGTTTTAATGCCATAATGTCACTGTCATGGTTGTACAAAGTTGATTGTTATATTTAAAGTCAAGAATGTGCAACTCATCTCTTTGCAGTGTTACCATCTTTTTGTTTTAAAAGCTTGTGTTGATATGCAGTATTTTGCCATTTACATTCCTTCTTAAACCAAAGGGGCAAAAGGATTTTTGTATGAAATGTGAATGGGTCCTAAGGAATTCGGATGTGTGAGCCAAGTGTGCTGTGGGGTCACGTTAGTGCAGAGAGACCCAGGCTGGACCCTTGGCCATTGCAGACGGATCACGGAGCAACGAGGGACACTTGAAATTTTATTTAGGCTGTGGCCATGGTCCAT